AGGAAGGGAGAGAGATAGTTAGAAACATCGATGAGAGAGAGACATCGATCAGCTGCCTCCTGCACATCTCCTATTGGGGATGTGCCCGCAACCCAGGTACATGCCCTTGACCGGAATCGAACCCGGGACCCCTCAGTCCGCAGGTCGACGCTCTATCCACCGAGCCAGACCGGTTTCGGCTAGAGATAACTCTTAATTAAAGGCTTGATACACATGATAGAGTTAGCCATGGGGCTCTATAAGGAAAGAGCTTTCCAAGTAGAATTGTCATTGCAGAGGCCCTAAGATGAGAACATGTCTGGTGCATTCAAGGCATAGCAAGGAATTCTGAGTATAAAAGAGTGAATGAGGGTAAGAGTAGTAAGAGATGAAGTCAGAGAGGTGATGGTGGTGGTATAGGATGAAACATCACGTAGGACTTTCTAAATATTTGTAAATTCTTTAACTTTTATTTTGAGTGAAAGGGGACTGCCAAAAGTTTTGAAGCAGAAAAGTGACATTATCATACTTTTTAAAAAGTCCCGTGGCTGCTTGCTGGGTGGAGACTAGACTGTATGGTAGCAAGGTTAGAAAGAAGCAGGAGCATCAGGTAAGACGCTATCATATTACAGAGAAGAGACGATCATAACTCAGATTTAAGTGATAATAATGCAGGTGGTGAGAAGTAATCATGGAAATATTTTTACGATTGCACTAACATAATTTGCTCATGGATTGGATATGTGATTTGAAGGAAAGAGAAGAATTGAGCATCATTTCAGGTTTTTTTGGCCTGAATAGCTATTTTTAACTTTGCCTTTGTACCATGAAAACAACCATTTAAAAAGTAGGTAAATGTCACATTCAACATGTCCCATACCAAGCCAACATGTGCGGAGGCAGCATGTCCTTCCTGAAGCATTACAAAGATGGAAAGTTCTCTCTTCATGTGAATTTCCCCTCTAAAGTTATTTATATGTTCTATATGTAAGTGCATATGTACATACGTATATATGGGCCTCTGTAGCTGAACAATATATTTTATAAATCTAAGCATGTTCCCATTACAGAGAGAGCATCAGCACTTTTACCTCCCAGCACTAATACAATACTTCAGACCAGTATTGTATTCATTTTATTAATAAATGGGTCTCTTTTTCATTGTAACATAGAGCTTGGCTGTTTTTGTTTTTCTGAAAAATAACGGCCTTTATGTTCTCTCATTGCTTCTCTGGTTTCAAAGGACAGTTTTATTATAAATAGTGTACGGACTTTGTATATTTAGAGAGGAACCGTTTCAGGTTCCTGGAAAAAAAAAACAGAGACATTTCATTCTTATTTTTTTTGAAAGGGCATCTTTTGATTTTTTTATTCTTGTTCACTATTGGGTATGTATATAAGTAATATGGTGATATAAAAACTTTTGTTATGTGAAAATAAGTCAGAAAACTGTTAAAT